TTGAAATTTAGAGTTTTGTGGTGAGATTAAGTGTGAACTCTTCTTTAAGAGTGTAGGAGATGGAGAAAAGTGAGAGATTTCTTCTTCCTACATTTCCTCTACAAGGGATTTGCTTTGAGAAAGAGTTTCAGATAAGTGTTATTTTTTTATTAGTATTGTATGAACTTTCTTTTATGTATGATATTTTTGTTTTGTTGTATCTTTCTCATGAAGTCTGAGTAGTTTACTTTATCTTTCTCCCTACTCTAAGATATGACAAAATGAAGAGATAATATGGATGTGCCAATATTAAAATATAAAATAAATTATGATGATTTTTCAACTCCAAACTTAATTTACTTTTCGATCTGACCAATTGAATTATTTAAATATGTTGTGAAACATATGATCCGGGAAATGAAGTATGAGTTCTACAATAGATTGAGGATCACATATGATTCCATGAAGGAGAACTTCATTCATGGAATTAAGTGCAAATAAATAGGGAAATATACTTTGTTGGGTGTAGAATTGGAGAATCTTTAAGGTGACAGACTAAAATCCCCAATTCAATCTTAGTGTTTAAAAACTAAAACGAGAGTTAGCCTTCAGGTGAAGGGAAGTGGGAGCTCTAGAGTGGGAGCCAATATCCTCCTAGCCTAGCCATGAATTTAGGAACTAAACCTGGGATTAGCTAATGATTTTCTATAATACTGTATCTGGGCAGAGAATTAAAACTGCTTCTATTTGGCACAATACATATTAATGCCATTTATCTCATTACATTTTACCAAAATTTCATTGTAGTGGGAAAGATATTTTTCCATATAATAAATCTTCATCACATAAACATAGTTTAATAGTTTGGTAATTACTGTTTAAACTCTATATTTCAGTTTTGTTATTAGTTAAATAATTTAGTTCTGATAATATCTCAACATTTGAAATTAGTGACTGTAATTTCATTTTAACTTTCTGTGAATTTCCTAGTAAATTTATCATTTCAAATTTAAACATTTCCCGTAGGATTGATATTTGGGGCTTAAATAGAAAGTCATTTATTACTTGATAGTAATATGTATACTTGTGTAGAATCCCAACATTAATTGCTTAAATTTCTAATTTATAAAATATTGCATCAAGCTTTTCATCAAATATTGCATCAAGCTTTTGGCACCGTTGCATAGCGGAGTCAACTATATAATTTTACACAACTATATTTCACATCAGAATCAAATGTCATTACCCAATTATAAGGAGAAAGGGAAAAGTATCATCACCCAAGAGGTGGATGACCACCCCGAAGTCCTAAATGAGGGGGCTAAAGAGCCTTCTAAGATTGTGGACTATAATGAGTTGGCACACCTCAAGAGGTTGTCAGCCACTTTGAGCATCTACAATGCACTTCTCCTTTCTCCCAAATTGAGAGAAACTTTGATTAGAGATCTACGTGAGCCTGAGGTCTTCCACTCACATTATGCGGAAGAGAGGATGAAGGAGGCGACTATGCCACCGGGTGTGGTTGTCGTTACCTTCACAGAGGAGGACTTTCTTTTAGGATTCACAGACGATAATCGTCCCCTATATGTGACGGTTGGAATCTATGAAACTTTGTTAAACCGTATCGTAATCGATCCCAACGCTTCAGTGAATATTATAAGCGTTCAGACTCTTGAGTTGTTGTCTTTGAGCGAGAGGAGATTATGCTACGACAAGATTATGGTCAATGGATTTAATGCAAAAGATCAAAAGACGCTTGGCTCCATCACTCTACCTCTCCAATTTGGAGAATTCAAGAGTGAAGCCAAATTCCATATGATTGATGGGGATACTTCTTACCGGGCTCTGCTCAGATGCCCATGGATCCATGAGTATGGGATGGTACCGTCCACCCTCCACCAATGCATCAAGTACATACGTGGAGGAGAAGAGTTTTCCATCCCTGTAGATGTTCATCCATTCTCCATTAATGAGGTGGGAGTCTATGATGATGCAGAGTACTATGCACCACCTAAGACATCTATCCCAGTCTCAATTTTGTCGGCATGTCCACGGGCCCCTCCCCTTCCTAGTTCTCTCATGGTTATAGGCAAGGAGGTAAAGGAGCAGGAGGAAAGGCATCCTACTCCTATGACTTTGAAGCCTGAGCTTAAGCTCCCCATCTTGCCTGCAGGTAAGATGAAGATCGAAGCTATATCGGACTCTGAGTCTGAGCTTGATGCAAAGCTACTGGTAAGCAGTTTGAGTCGGAATGACGCTGGAGAAGAGATACTTCTGCTACCCTCGACAGGCATGGTCCCTCGTTTGATCAGATTTTCTTTGACGAACGAGAAACTGACCATCGACCCCATACTGTGAGGTCATCACAAAGAGCTGAAAACTACGCATGCCTCTACCTTTGAAGAGTTGAAGACCTTCTATGTACCTCCTAGACTTAAATCTAAAGAGAAAGACATTTTATTTTATAAAGTCGTTCCTCATGCATTAAACACTGATATAATGCTTTTAAATAATGAGAATGAAGAAGTGGAGGATATTCCTCTTTCATATTATTGCTCTCCTTTTATTTATAAAATGCTTGATGTTGGTTTGTTGCTCGAGAGATGGTCTGGTCGCCAAGCCAAGTTATGTAAGGCCATGTGGCAGTATAGACCCCTAGGGGAAAGGTCTGGACTAGGCTATTATAAAAAGCTTGATAAAGCCAGACTCCATAGAGCATCGTGTAGAATGATTTCTACGCATGAAGACATTGAGACCCTCACCTCTGCTAGTGAGGAGATCAAAGTTAGAGATGCCCTTTGTGAGCTTGAGGATGGCGTCTCTTCGATAGACGATGAATTGGTTGAGGTCAACCTTAGTTTGGTTCATGATCCTCGTCCGACTTATATTAGCAAACTCCTATCAGATTCTATGATTGCTAAGATTATATCAATCATAAGAGAGTTTCGTGATTGCCTTGCCTGGAGCTATGTCAAAATGCCTGAACTAGCTTTAGATGTGGCCATACACCATTTGGCCATCGATTTGAGTATTGTTCCTATGAAATAAACACTCCATAGGATGCAACCCAAGATAGAGAAGAAGGTCATTGAAGAGACCAAAAAGCTCATCGAGGCTGGCTTTATTAGAGAGGTTCCTTACCTCAAATGGCTTGCAAACATTGTACCCGTTTGAATGAAGAATGGACAGATACAAGTTTGCATCAAATTTTGAGATCTAAATAAGGCTTGCCCAAAAGATGATTTTGCCTTATTGATTCCAAAGCTCATGATCGATGTCGCATCCTCTCATGCAATGTTTTCCTTCATGGATAGTTTGTCCAGTCAAAATCAAATTCGGATGGCCCCATATGAGGAACAACATACGGTGTTTCATACTCCGATCGGCATATTTTGTTATAAAGTCACGCCCTTCAGATTAAAGAATGCTGGGGAGACCTATTAACGCGCTGTGATGCACATATTCGATGACTTGCTACATCATCAGGTTGAGTGTTACATCGACGATGTAGTGACTAAGAGTCGTTCTGAAGATGATCATCTTTCAGACCTGAGGACCATCTTTGAACGCCTTAGGAAATATGACCTGAAGATGAATCCACTAAAATGTGCCTTCGACGTATCCTCTGGGAAGTTTATGGGATTCATTGTCCGTCATAGAGGTATTGAAATTGATCCCATCAAAATTAAATCCATCACTAAGATGGAACCTTCTAAAAGTTTGACGCAGTTGCGTTCCCTGTAAGGGAAGCTTACCTATAATTAGAAGGTTCATTTTGAACCTTTCTGGTCGATGTCAGCCTTTTTCTGCGTTGACTAAGAAAGATGTTCGCTTTCACAGGGATGAAGCTCGTCGACATGCTTTCGACTATATCAAGTGCTACTTACTGAATCCTCCAGTGTTAACATCTCCAGAATAAGGTAGACCCCTCATTCTCTATATTAACTCTCTTGACAAGTTAACAAGAGATTTATTAGCTCAAAAGAATGAGGAGGGGAAAGAGAACACTCTATATTACCTTAGTCAGTGTTTCATACCCGCTGAGATGAGATACCCATAGATTGAAAAGCATTGCTTGGCATTGATATTCTCAATCCAGAAGTTAAGGCATTATATGCTCTCACACCATGTTGATTTGATCTTGAGTGTAAACCCCTGACAATATCTCATGGCACGTCCCACCTAGCTAGACAGTTGGCTAGATTGGCTATGATATTATCCCGGTATGACATTTCATATGTCCCTAAATGTGCTGTTAAGGGACAGGTGTTAGCTTAATTTTTAGCGGCTCACCCGATCCCGACAGATTCACCTCTTAATGATGATTTTCCTGATAAGCATCTGTTGGCCATCGATACATCTGAATGGGAAATGTACTTTGATGGGGCCTCTTCCTTAAAAGAATGGCCACCAGGGACTCTCCTAAAGGTACAATCAGGGATCAGATTGATGTTTGTATCGCTCGATGGTGACATTCTCCACTATTCTTATAGTTTAGTGGAACCATGTACAAAATCTATGACGATTCTCAACTCATTATAAGCCAAGCCTTATGAACCTACCGAGTCCTCAAGGCTGAGCTTTTAGCCTATCATGAGAAGATAATGACAATGTTAAAGCTTATTCCTGAGGTCACACTTATTAAGATACCTCGATCCCTTAATGGAAAAGTTGATGCTCTTACTAAATTGGCTAAATAGTTATCGAGTCCTGATGGAAATCCCATGACAGTCGTGATCCAAGAAAGAAGAATCCTATCACCAATGCTTTCTATCTCTTCAAGTGATGCACCCTCAAATATCAGTGGCGTCGTCTTGGTTGTTTCTGATGAAGCATCCAATGATTGGCGTCAAGCCATCATCACATACTTATTGAGGGGATTTCCCCCGGATAATTGTTCTCTCACCTCTTAGATCCAGAAGAGGGTGCTTTAATTTGTCATTTTTAACGATACTTTGTATCGACACTCTTTTGAATAGATGTGCCTATGATGTGTAGGGCATGATGAGGCCCAAAAAGTCATGGCTGAGGTCCATGAGGACATTTGTGGATCCCATCAGTCGGGTCCCAAGATGAAAATCAAGATCAAACGTCTCGGTTATTGTTTGCCTACGATGACCCTTGATTGTATTGAATATGCCAAGAGATGTCATCAGTGCCAGGTATTTAGTCCTGTGCTTCAACAACCCTCGAGTGTACTTCATTCGAAAGTTGCATCATGGCCTTTCGAGGCTTGGGGTACTAATATTATGGGGCCTATTGACCCACCATCCTCTCGAGGACATCAATTTATTCTTGCAACCACTGATTATTTCTCTAAGTGGGCGGAAGCTATCCTCTTAAGAGAAGTAAAGGCAGATAACGTGTTGTATTTCTTTAAGAATAATATCATTTATAGATTTGGTGTGTCATGTCATATCATCTCCGATAACGGTCTGGCTTTCAAAAACACCAAGATAAATATATTTGCTCGACGCCATCACATTGATTGGCGATATTCGACGATCTACTACTCGAGAGAAAATGGCTTGGCTGAGGCTTTTGATAAAAATTTAGTTGGTCTTATTAGGAAAATTCTCCATGCCAACAAGAAAACATGGCACGAGAAGCTCTTGGAGGCCTTGTGGGCATATTGTATGACATATCATTCTCCCACTAGTTCTACTCCATGTGCATTGACCCTTGGGTCCGAAGCAGTCCTTCCTCTAGAAGTTGAACTGCCTTCATTGTGTGTCGCTATAAGCAACAATGTCAACAACAAAGAAAATACCCGACTTAGGTTGGAAGAGCTTGATAGCTTGGAGGGGCTGCGATTATAAGCCTAACAGAACCTCAAGCTATACCGCGCTCGTATGGTCAGAGCACACGAAAAGCTAGTGAGGCTCCGTACCTTCATAGTTGGAGACTTGGTACTCTTTTTAAGCTACCCAATTGTATCTCACTGTTGAAGCCACGGGAAATTTGTGCCGACATGGAAAGGACCGTTCGTGATCAAGAAGATCTACGAGGGAGGAGCCAACATGCTTGTTGACACTCATGGATCCCATCCCTTGCCCCTCATCAATGGGCGGTATTTAAAGAGCTACTATGCTTAAGCTCATTATCTATTGGATGTATTTTGCATTATAGATTGTTATTCAAAGGTGTATGTATTTTGTAATTCAGTTATTAGGTAATATAGTTACATCTATCACGTGGCGTCTTGGTTGAACTACTTGTGATGATTTCCTTATAAGTACTAAAGGATTGTGTTGCGTAGTTCATGATATCATATGACGCGTAAGAGAGGTTTTATGCATCTCTTAAAAATGAATGTTGAATTGTCAAACAGGCAAAGTGGAAGTCCTACGGGTGGCTTATACTTGGCGCAATCAGTAATCAGTATAAGAGAAGCCATGCACTTCTCTTGTTCTTCCTCCTTGGTTCCACGCCTTGAGCTGGTCCGAATGAGTGTGTCTCACCCATCGTAAATAAGGGAGGTGAATGCGTTCATCCCGCCCATCATGAGTGGATGGGAGAGATACCCTATTTTTAGAGGATTTGAGCTTATCCATATGGTCGAGCATATCTTGGTTAGCACATCTTACTTAGCTAACCATCGCAATATCTCAACGACGATAGTCAATTCGATTGACATTTGCCTTATGCAGGAAAACCATGTCTCTTTCTAACATTATTTTTAGGTTACCCATTTCATATAGGGCCCGTGTCGAGCATGTCTCATCCATCATGGGTGATTGTGAAAATTACACTCATCCCATTCAACTCACGTGAGTGTGATATTTTCCCTTCTTTAGGATATTTTGGGTTTATCCTTGAGGCTAAACACCACTTCGTTGGTGCATTTCATTTTGCTCAACCTCTCTTAGGTGTCTCGATCGACTAAGCTCAGGTTAGATCGATGCCTTCTTTGTGCGAGGAAGTGAAACTTCTTTCCTCGATACCTCTATTCGGTTCAACAACTATTCGGTTCAACAATGTTATCAGGTGGTTAATTCCTCTATTAGAGTTTCTCACTCACCTCAAATGAGTGTGGTGTCTTCCCACCTTGAGGGATGCTACTAAATTGGCCTGATGGTTGTGTACTCTTATGGTTGGAGTGTTAAATCTAAACCAACCGTTCTTCAATGCTACAATAATTCCCTAGTGGAATTCATTCTACCAAAGTTTCAGGTAGTGTTGTCATATATAGGGTTGGTAAGTCATAATCGTCCACCCTCTTGGATATCCTTGACTCTCTCAATTTTTGTTGCCCTACGAGAGCAACATGTTGTGTCGGTTTTATCACCGATCCGTATTTTGTCGGAGCTCTTTGATGCCCAAATTTGTTTTGACACTTGATATGGTTACCTTGATTGGGCGAGATCAATACCCTTTGAGAGGAGCGCTTCCTCCTTATCAGATCACTTCATGCATCCAACATTTACTTTGAGCGTGATACCTCAAGTTTATTCCACATGATTACTCATTTGATGTTTCGACGGGATACATACCTCCTGCATCTTTGATGTTGCTCGAGCCCTGTGACTTTGTAGTCAACTCAGTAGGAGTACATCTCTTTTTTAGATGCTTTCAGTTTTTTTAGCCATGGTCCTCGAGCCATACGACCTTAGAGAGCTCTGTTATGAGGACATCTTATTTTTTTGAAAATTTTGGCCCCGTAGCTATTTGATATGATATTTCTCAAGCTATATGGTGTTCTAAGCTTGCTCCTATGAGAACATATTATCGTGTTCAGCTTGTTGGTTATTATGATATTTCTTAGACCATATGCTCTTTTGGGCCGGTTCTTTTGTTAGAGTATCTTGTCTTCGGACTTTCTTGGCCGCATGCCATTAAGGTTGAGTGCCTCTATAACCGTATGACTTTACAGTCGGTTAAATGGTGATAACACCTCAACTGGCTGGCCAGATGCCACCTCATTCAGGATCTTTAGTTCTTTATAGCCACCTGATAACATTGATGAGTGTTTCTACTCCATGGGAGCCGACCCGACTCGCAATCGGGTTCCTATCGAGAGAGCATAATAGGAGACTTGAGGTCACACGATATGATCGAGCCTCCTCCCACTTTTGCCATTATGACTGAGGTCAGACAAATTTTGGGTTCCCACCTTTGGACATTCAAATGTGGTCAGACAGAGAGTAGTTATCTCTTGCGACTAGGGGTGGCCTCTAAGCCAAAAGCCCGAATGTGAGAGATGAGAGACCTGCGGTCACACGAGATGATCAGGCCTTTTTAACTTTCCATACTATTGAGTCACTGGAACAGTTGTTTGCCACTTCAGTCGGGACTTCTTGGTATTTATGACTACCCGGACTGTCGTGATGGGTGCCACCCTCCGGGAGAACCTACTAGTCAGTTCTTTGTGTGAGAGCACAACAGGAGACTTGGGTCACACGAGATGATCAGGCCTTCTCGGTCGGCCATACTATTGAGACAGTTAGCTTTAGTTGCTAGCCTACACCCCCCACCATACCCTGTCCAGTTTATTTGGCCTAGTTGGGTTTCTTTGTGGTTGGCTGATTTTGGCTGGCTAGCCACGCCCTTGACCATTCCTTGTCCAATTCACCTAGCCTGGTTGAGGTTCTTTTTTTCTTCCCTTGGGATGTTTCCTTGACTACTTGGAGAGACTTTCCATTGAGGATGTTGCCAACAAGTGCACTGTGCCTTAGCGTCACAACACACTTGTTGGGGGTCCTTTTTTGGCATCTATTTTTGATGTTGCATGTGTAACATGTCCACTTGAGCATATCAGGGTCATGATTCATGCAGTTGTTGTTTCCCGTAGCTCGAGACATCCGTTCAAGATCCATCAGCGTGTGTTGAGGGGGGGGGGGGGGACGTAGCCGGGTTACTAGACTTTGGCTTTTGCTTACTCGAAGGTCGGTCAACATTTCGCACGTCGGACGACTTTGATTGGGTAGAAAAATATTATTCGTCTCGTCGCACATGAAGTTTTCTCAAATTTCCCCGATAATCAGCAAAGTTGTCCAGTTGACCTCGGACGACAAAATGGGTTGCGCGATCGCGTCTAGAATGTTGAGTTTACCTAAAGGGGACACTCATTTCATTGTGAGGACTTATTCAAGCAAGAAATACTTGAGGGATAACAATAATAATTATATTATTATAAATTATAACGTAATACACACACACACACACACACACACACACATACACAATGGAGTTGAAGGCGGCTAAAGAAGCTCTGCTAGGGTTCTTGGCAAAATGAAGGTTCCCTGGTGCTTTCTGGCGGTGCATGGTTGTTGCTATTGGGATTACTGATTTAGTTCTTCTAAGTGGGGTTTTCTTGAGGCTGATTATTTCTTTTATTATTTCTCGGGTCTTTGAAGAAGTTTTAAATTTAGTTATTGTTCCATTGGAGGTGGTTGGGAGCTACTATTAGTTGTTTACTTTCTTCATGGCTTTCCCTATTGATGTGGACACAAATGCACAGTGGACTAAAGCCACATATGCAGGAGTGGTTGGTATGGTAAAGCTAAAGATACCCTAAAGATACCCTCAAAGATCCTGAGCACTTAATTTTTCCTCAGACCTTACATGATGCGGCTGCTGATAAAGGAACATGTCCCTACATTCACCCTTTACGAGTGAAAGATGGGGAACCTACCATCTTCTTCTTTGAGCAAGACATGAAAAAAATCAGTGAGGAGGTGCAGTTTACTTTAGTTGGAAAGTTCATATTTGGCCATAAAAAAATGGAGTTAGTGAGAAATTATTTTGAATCACTGAATTTTATTGGGAAATGGAAGGTGAGATTACTAGATGGGAGGCATATGCTTATACAACTAACTGGGATGGCCGGAAGCTCCCAAAGCTGTGAAGGTTGTTGAGCCCACTATAGGTGAAACTTCTATGGCACATAATTCATTTGGGGATCCTCTTGGATCTGTTTCTACTCCTTCTAATACCCGAGATTCAAAACCCTTATTTTCTATAAGGAAGGAAGCTTTGGAAGTGGAGATTGTATCCCCACCTTCTACTGATCCTGTGTTCCCTGGTGGGATTGTGGTTGAGGGCTGCCCCACACCAATATTCCCTAAAATTTAAACAATAATAGAATTGAAGAAAACTTTGGAAGAGGATTGGCACATCCTTTGGAAGAGGATTGGCACATCCACACTGCTAAAAAGAAGAAGAAACAAGCTACTGAACTTCAAAAACTTCAAAAAGGGATATCTACTGTGACACAAGGAGGTGGATCTAAGGGGATGGCAGGCTTTTCCCCTAAGATTACTAGAGGTAGAACCAGATCTAGGTCACAACCTTCACTTCACCCCTCCCCAAAAGATGATTAACTTTCTTTGTTGGAATATTATGGGTATTTCTCACACCCTATCCCTTAAAAGAATTTTACATCTGAACAAAAACTTTCAGCTTTGGTGCATTGTTATTTTTGAATTTATGGTTCATAAGCATTCTCAAAGACTTATTAATAAGTTCACTCGTTTTACTCATTATGCTAGGAATAATAATAAGATTTTGATTTTCTATAGAAAGGAAATCACTTGGCAGGTACTGGTGGACCATCAACAGTTTGTGCATATTTCTTTTCTAATCAATGGCCATATGGGACAAGCTTCTTTCATTTGTGCAGGGTGTAAAAAGGAGGATAGAAAAGAACTCTGGATGACATTCATAGCATCAGTAACATATGAACTCCCCATGGATGGTGGGGGGAGATTTCAATTGTATCTCTTCCTCTGCTGAGAAAACTGGGGGTAGATCCCCTAATCTCTCAAAAATGACTCTATGCTCTGATAATATCCAAACAGCTGGGTTGTTTAATATGGGC